CATGCAGCCCAAGCGCCTGAAAGTCAGGGGACTAACCAGAGGAATTTGTGACCTTTACGGGCTTTCCCATTGTCTCTGCTTCTGGGAAGCCAGCAGGGAAGATGACAAATGGCGATCATGTGACCGCAGGATGCTGTAAATGTTTTAAGTGTGAGCCAAGCGCCTGAATTACGATCACAGGGGAAGGAGGTGCTGTGTCAGCTAGAACTTTAAGGACTGGTCACAAGTACCAGTTTTTCAGTGTCATCACAAGTTTGAACGGTCTCTGAAGAGTGGTCAGTTAGCGAGGACTACATGTAAGTGTAAACCTACATGACCTATAGCTCATCAAGATAGTTTCAAGGTCAAAAAGAGGGAGGTGGTTAATGAAAATGCAAAGGAATCACAAAATATTAATCTTGAAATACATTATTAGCCTAAAAGAAACTATGCTGTTGCACTAAATAGTGTTATATATGATTAATACTTACATATTTATTAAAATGGGGCAATATATTTGTCTTTTGTGTATGCAATATTCCTAAAACTGCAATATCTACATATAAATGTAATTTGTAAAAAATAAATCCTTAAAACAAGGATGGAAGATTGCAAAAGTTACTTGAACAGCAAGCAGACTGGAGAACTGGAACTCTTCAAATGTTGCTGAATTATAACTGTTAACGAACCAATCTAGCAGTGTAAATGGTAAATGCTGAGAGATTTAACTCAGGAACCTCTGAAGGGTCACTAATTCTTCACTGCTGCCATAAGACTGCAGTCAATACAAACTCCTTGAGTCATGGCCATTCATTCAATGACCATTGGAAGTTATGATGGTGCTGAATGAAAGAACTTACAACCCGTGCCCTGCAGTGCCTCAACAACCATGCAAACAAAATTCACACCCACCTCACTTATGACTGCCACGGGACATTTACGACCATAGGGACACTTCAACTCCCCCCACCCACCTATTTCTCCCTCAACTGGCCGCCCTACATAGCGGCACCTGGCATTGGCAGCCGCAAAGCTGCAGCTGAAGTAGAGGCTCAGGGCTTTTAGCGGTCAGCATATTTATGCCCTTTATTTTCCAGACTTTCTCCCCTGGAGCTACTATCCAGACTAAATTATCCTACTGCCCTGAAGACCACTCAAGTAAAAACAACAAAATCTGTATGAACCCTTCCACATATTTTTTGCTTATAAAATGTACACTTGTCTTATGACAGCAAAAAGAATAGCCAATACTATATTTGAAAATCAAGACTGCTACTGACATTTTAGCACACAATGTCAACCATCCTAATTTCAGAGATCAGCAGATTTAAAGCATGTTGCCTAAGCATCTGAGCCTTTTTTTCAGCCAGTAAGTTATTAAACATGTTCTGTTATATAGCTGTAGAATGAGTAAACAGAGCTATATTTTATATTGCATTGGAATTTAAACATCTTCATTATTATGAGGCCTAACACCTGTGCATCATTCTTTGAAAGAAAATAAAAAGCAATTTAATTGAAGGCCAGATTGAAACTATCCAGTGTTCCTGCCTATTGAGATCGCAATTAAGCCAGGGAGGAGCAACTTGTCCTCTTGAAAGATAATTAATCCTTAGTTCATGGATTAAAATGCACACCCCAAAATTATAAATATAACTCTGATTCTAAGTGCCTTTGCTTGCTCCTATAAAAATGCAGTTTCCTAAAGTGCTTTAAAATGCAACAATGAGGGAGAGGAGGCAAACGGTTTATAACCTAGTAGTAGTAAATCTACATCAATTACAGAAAGGTAATCAGCCTCCAGAATACTTTTTTTTTCAGTACAACATCACTATCTATGGCAAGTGTGCCATGCGAGCAAAATTATAAAGACAACAATCATCTCTTTAGGTGAAACCATCATGGTGAACATATTTTATTTCTTTCTAGTTTACCACTGTTCAGCTGGGCTTCCTCATTGCCCGGGAAAACTGTCTGAAATGGTAATCCATAATTTTGTGTCATGTATATTTACTTGTTTATCTACCCAAATCTAAACATTATCTAAATATGGCCCAGTCCCCATATAACAGCTGAACTGCCCAAATTTAGGAACAAAAAGTGACAATAAATGAAATAAAACAAAACACGTACATTAAAATTGATGGGAGGAAAAAAAATAACTGTATTTAAAAGCAAAAATCTGAATGAACCTGAGTCTTAAATATGCACCTGTAAACAATGGAATAATAAATAATCCATACATATCAGCAAGGACGTTCCAAACAATAGATATGGCATCAGCAAGGACGTTCCAAACAATAGATATGGCATCAAACGTTCCAAAAAATAGATATGGCACCAGAAACCTTCACAAATTTATATGCAATGGAGTAAGTTACTATTTTAGTGATCAAGAAAGTATTGTTCAAAGAATCTTGATTAAGATTTGTTAAAAGTAAGTTTTTAAAAACTCTGATTAGAAACAAGGGGATAGAAAGCAATACTAACTAGTCCTTGTACTTTTTTTTCCTCTAAAAAAGACTGAGGGATGGAAAAAAAACCCAGTAGTTTGATTTCTAATTTGAGTGTCTATCCCCTAAGCACTGACCTAGGTTGGGGCTGAGTCAAGGAGTTCATAGTAGGGGTGGTCTGGTGCCTAGTGGAAAGGATCCGACTAGTTATATATATATATATAATTGATTGTTGTGAGCCACCAAGGATCACTGTGTGATGTTAAATGGCTTTATCATTTCAGTAAAAAAAATATTCTGAACTACGTTGCCACTAACCTCAGCTTTTCCTCCCTCCTGGCATTCATAGACTATTCTGAAACTGTGTAAAAATGAGCCTTTTTTTCCAAGTAAAGAACTTTGTCGCAAAGATCAACAGAAGATGCTCTCCTGAAGAGAACTAGCAGGAAAGGGTCTTTTTTGGGCTATGGAATGCACTTTGCAAAGGAGTCTGTTTGGCTAACACTCTTCCAGTAATTAGGAAGATGGAAAAACTGCTTCATTTTTGCCAAGCTTTTAATTGTTAATTGTTTTAATTAGCTTTGATTTTGGCTTCGATTTTAACTGTTTCATTTTATTATAGTATTATATTTTATTGTTGCACATTCATTATGTGGAGGGAGGGAGGACCTCCCCCTAAAGATGCTGCTCACCCAAATAAAGCTGCCAACTTGCAAAACTGCAAGATAAAATACACGTGTTTTTCAAATTTCAAAGCTGGCTTAAATCTAGCATTTCAGCAGGCCAGCAGCAAATGCCATTATCACTCCATCAAAAAGGTTAAGTTCACATATTTACTGCAGTCTCGACTTAACAAAATTAAAAGGATGCAAATGCATGCATGCATACTTACATATATATACATATGTTAAATGACTCTGTAGAATGTCTACTTTGCTAATAGACATACTTTGACAGTCCATAGTAACCACTCATTACAATAATGGTCAGCCCAAAATAGACTGGAGTGCCAAAGGAAGGAAACAAATAAGCAAAAATAATGGGAAGAAAAGTATGCCTAGTCATTGATATACAGTCTAATGATGATTTTCACATAATGGTAAAAGCAATGAACTAAAAATGACTTCTTAAGAAACAGAAAAGGAAGAATCTTACTAGAGTTTATTTTCTTTCAAGAATAGAGAATAAGATAAAGACAGGATGCACTGGCCTTCCTTTATGCTTTATGTTTAAAGTATTTTTTTAAAAAAATCAAAACAGCAAAAAAGAAATTAAGAGATTTACATTTTGTCTGAGATGGCTCCTATTCCAGAAAAAAATTATCTTCTGGATAGTAACAGACTTTTCTATGGACCGCTTGGGCAAGAGCACATGTTTCAAAATAAGGCAAAATTAAACAACTGTTTTGCAGTAGATCATCGGCAAAGTAAACATATGGGAAATTATGAAATATTTTAAACACTGCATCATTACATTTTAAAATATAAGGTTAACCTATTCTTCAGATTCAGTACAACTTGGTATGCATTGTATAGACAGCGTGAGGGGTGAACTGGCACACAGATGGTCTTGCATTTTTGTTCCTTGCTTCCTTGTTCCTTGCTATACCTATACAAGGAAGAAGACAAAGGAGACTAACATTGTGATGTAAAGTAGTTGGGCAGAACTGAGCTTTCTGAACATGGTTGGCTGGATGAAGTGTAGGATGCACACCTTAGAACCACATCACTGGAAGTCATAATGGGAAAGAGTGAGAAGCATGGGGTAGATCTTTATCTAAATGAGCCTGACTTCCAGGTTTGTTTGTTGTCTTTGAAGGAACAGTAGTATAAAGAAGAATAGTATTACAGGTAATCCTCAATTTATGACCACAATTGAGCCCAGAATTTCTGATGCTGAAACAAGTATTAAATAGGTTTTGCCCCATTTGACAATTTTTCTTGCCACAGTTGTTAAGTGGATCGCTGCAACTGTTAAATTGGTAACATGGTTAAGTGAATCTGGCTTTCCCTGTTGACTTTGTTTGCCATAATGTTGCAAAATTTCATCACATGACTCCGGGCCACTGCAACCATCATAAATATGAGTCATTGCCAAGCCTCTGAATGTTGATCTCATGAGCACAGGGATGCTGCAATGATTGTAAGTGTGAAAAACAATCACAAATCATTTTTCTCAGTGCCAGTGTAACTTCGAACGGTCACTAAACAAATGGTTGTGAGTTGAGGACTAAATAAGTGTCTGGACAAATCTATTGAGGATGAAGTTGTACTATACTACATGTTAACAGAATGAAAAACAATCAATCTTGCTAATAGCAAAAATTATCAAAATTTGAAAAAAATCATAAATTGTTAACATTAAATACAATCAATTTATGTAATCTCCTAATTTTAGTAGTACATTATACTAATTTTGTGTCTTCATCTAGATAAGAGAATTTGAGCTTATTTATTCTGATTGTCTAACAATTTTGTAACCTCATAAAACCTTCATTAAATTAACATTTTCAACTACTTAATAAACAGTGATACGTTTCCACACATTTTATTTTACAAAGAGTATTACCAGTTCTCGGGGCAGAAAGGTTTCTTCCTGGCGAGCAATGACCAGGGATACTATCTCTCCTTGTTTTGTGCTTCTCAGAGTAGCTACAAGTTCTTCTTGAGTTCTGCCAGTGATATCTCTACCATTCACCTAATAACACCATAAATGAGCAAGTTAGCAAAAATTGTTAACAATATATTGTTAAATTTGCAATAGTGGCGAATATCTATAGCTCAGGTATAGGATGAGGGTGAAGGTTCATTCTCCGAGCTTGTGGGTTGGTTTCCGAACATTTTGTTACCAGGCTAGGTAACAAACTCCGCTGAAGATATTACCTAGCCAGGTAACAAAACGTTCGGAAACCAACCCATAAGCTCAGAGAACAAACCTTCACCCTCATGTTGTTAAATATTGAGCAATTTAATCCACATGGTATCAAACTGAGGATTGGGAACCTAAGCCATCTAAGCCACCCATCTTGCAGATGTTTCAAAGTTTCCTTCCCTACTTTTGCAGTGAGATCTATATCTACAATTTATATATCAGTATATCTACTGATATTCCCTGCAAGAATACCACTTCAACCCCACCCTATCCTCCAACAGAAGAAAGCACAGGACTATTGAAGTAGAGGTTTGCCTATGGTTGCATTGGATGAAACTCAAGTAAAATGCTGAGGAAGATGTAAGAATGGAGCATTAAACTTGCCTATCAGAGAAGATATACTTCAAAATATTTCACATCCAAGCCAGATGTTGTCACAAAGATTAATTTGAATGTTGATTTCTAATTTTGACTTCTCTCCAACAATCTCATTTTACTTAGGTATGATTTCACTTTATCCAGTACTGCAAATTATCTATTTGCCTTTGCCAAGTAAAATATGGTAAATTGCTACTGAGGAAAGGGTCTTTCCAGCTGAATCATGCTAAGTATACCCAGAGAAATGTGCTTTGCCCTTGCTTTGTGCTTTTTTTCACATGTGAGAAACATATTTAACAAGTATATCCAAAACCTGTTTGAATATTGCTGGGAAGGTTTTCTTTTACAGAACAATTGTATCAGCTTCAATAGATCCAAATAATCAATATCATTCAACATGGTTGAATCTGGAAAGCCATAAATGGTTGAACCTTAAAATTAGCATATTCAGGAGGAGATTTGCATCTCCTTAGAGATGAGATATCCAAGGAGCATTTATTACTTCTGAATTCCAAATTCCCAATTTTGCTCAGGCAAATTTTAAAAGCAAAAATGGGAAAGTATCATGAATGCAAGCATAGGCTTTGAGTATCCAAGAAACTTGACCTCACCTTCAGATTATAGAAGATAAAAATTATCTAGAGCAATGATCACCTTGTTTGGTAAAAAAAAAATGCAATAAGCAGTTATATTTCCAAAAATATATTTGGCAAAATGCAAATAAATGGGCTATTATAATTATTTTATAATGCACCTGAGCCTATGTTTTATATTAAACAGGTTTGTATCAGTCGAAAAAGCATCACATAATGGCAGAAAAGCTTAGAGCTCTTTGCCCCCACCAAATACTGTTTAATTCACTTAATAGAAAGATATGTGCTGAGGAATAGATTTCCAACCTCCAATATTCTGTCTCCTGAATGCAAACGGCCATCTTTAACTGCTGCACCTCGAGGCAAAATATTCTTTACAAATATAGGGCCAGGACCGTGTATGGAGGAGTCCCTGGTGACCACAGTAAAACCTAGTCCTTCAGGTCCTAAAGAATAGAAGAAGTATCTGTAAATATGAGGCAACCAGCAGCTAACAGAAGGCTGTTCTCCAAAGTCTTAATATTTAATATTTATATTAATAGGTTTGTTTTCAATTAGGTAAGAATAGTAGGATTCATTACTTGCTTTAGTGCTGAATTAAGACACCCTATTCAGCTTTTCTGTGCAGCAACCAAATGTGTCTTTCATCAGATTTCTTCAAATTCAACATTAATTCTTTAGCATACAGTATGTTTCTCTATTTCCATTCTGTACATTGTTCTTATGTAAAGCATGCAGTAACTCAAAGAATGAACACAAGCTTTAGTGACATACTACATTAGAAAAGGCCAAAAGGACAGAAAAAATATCTGGAAGCATTTTTTTAATTTGTAGAATGAATAGAGATTTCTTTTATCCCATCTTTATTATTTTTATTAAGGGAGTAAATATATCTAATACTCCTTCCTCCTACTAGTTTCCCCACAACAACCTTGCGAGGTGAATTGAGCAGAGAGAGTGACTGACCCAAAATCACCCACATGGCTTTCATGCTGAAGGCAAGATTAGAACACATAGCCTAGTGGTTTGTAGACCTAACTGACCAATTTTTTACATTATTATTATTAGAGTGTGCAGTATTCAAGTCCAGATGGGTCAAAAGGCTTCAGCTCTGGCGTGGGCACACTCACTGTATCTATTGGTGACTCCTGAAAGGAGCTTTCCCTTCACTTGGACTTTTATGAAAACCTTGCAGACTCAAAAAAGTGTTTGCTTGAGTCCAGGAGAAACTGCAGAAGTGGCAACTACAGGCTGAACATTTCCACAACTGAAATGAGCCTGATGTAGCTACTGTGTAAGCCCAGTGCAACAACAGGTATAACTGCAGTGCCTACACTGTATCTGAAGCATCTTTGCCAGCTGTAGATTGAGTATGACATGTTGCTAGTATTATAACCTTGAAATAATTTGTCAGAAGTGCTAGTTTAAAATTAGTAATTTTATTTTTCTGTCTTTATGGATTCTTAAAAATCGGTATGTCAGGAGATTTTATACAAAAGCTTATTGGCTATTTTGTTGTTGCATTAATTACTCCTTAATAAAGCTTTCCAAGAACAAGAACATTACAACAAGAATGCCCTTCTATATTGTTAACAACCCTAATGGGTCTCTTTGATAATAAATGGCTAAAGAGCAGAATCCTAACTTAGACTCAAAGCAGAAAAGGAAGTCTTTCTTTGATAAAAACTTAAGACAGAATTTGTTAGGGGAGCTGACTAGAAGCCTAACAGCTCCAGCCTAGAGTTTTGTGGGTAAAACCTTTTAAAACTCATTTGGGGCAGATCATCTGACGTATGTTATAGAATACAGCTTGAAATTGTTTTTCATGGTGATCTCTACAAGCAGACCTTGCAAGAAGATTTTTGCAGCCAACACCTAGTAACAACATATACATAAGCATACATGTATTCAGACAGAAGGACAGAAAGAGAGGAAAAAGAATGTGACACCTCTCTAAACAGTTCTGCTCTTAGCTGTACTCAGAGCAGGTAAGTCTAGGATATATTTTTGCGGAATGTGGAATAATTTTATGTGCAAAGGCTTAGAATTTGGAAACTGATGCAATATAAAAGCTTGCTAATTGCTACTTTATGCATTATTTCTTTATTTTTTCTTTCTTGGAGTACTTTATGGACAAAAACATTGAAATAAGTAGAAGCCGAGCCTTTCAAGCATGGGTAAACCATTTAGTGTTTAAATAAATAGTCAGCTGTGTGATTTATCCACAGACTACCCTAATCCTCAATGGAACACTTTCAAGTGGGTTTTGAGAAGAAGTAAATTGTTGACCTTTTTAATCTGACAGATGTGTGACTTTGAATTTAACATGCAAATATCTTGTTGCAATAATTCAGTGTTCATCTCCTAATTCTGTTCTGCAGTATGATTTCAGGAGACACTGGTTCACTTTAGAAACTGAACATTCCATAGGAAGCCTTCTTAAATCTTAACAACCCGTGTTGTACCATGGAATACTGAAAATTATTCAACCAAATCTTATCAGTACAGCGGTATCAAGGTATTATTTCATGTTATTATAACATTCCAGCAGATATGTTTGCTGACTGAAAATAAAAGTAACTTTAAAAGTAAAGGAAGTCCAACTGGAAAGATTTTTAAATGCAATGTCTGCTGTATATTGTTACCGTACCTGTTTTTTAAGTACCCCTGGATACATGGAAGCTGTTATTTGCCAGCTGCCTCCCCTGCATAAGCGCTCATCTATTTCTGTTTCCAGATAGTATGTCAGCTGCTTTTGCAACAAATGAGTCAAATGTATACATCCATATCAACCATATGTAAAAAATCATATTTCGAAAGCAACAACTTTTAACCATTACCTTTTTTCAGATCAATCCTTATTTTCTTTGCATTTTTCTTGCTGCCAAAACCTATCAATGGGGATAAAGATGGCGATGGAGGTTTCTTATTAATTCTTGAGAAGTTAGGACTCTTGGGAGATGCATGTGTACTAGTCTCTAGATTGTTTGCTTCAGAGAAATCTGGGTCTTTCATCATCGACTTTGGAAGGGCTGCAGGTGGAAATTTTCCTTTTGAAATATGCTCAGCTTTATTTGGGGAGTACAATGGTGCTATGACTGACTTTTCATAGTGTTCACGGCCATACAAAGGGACAACTTCCAGGATGATGTTTTGAGATTTCATTGCTTGGCGGAAAAGATCTTGTGCTCTTGGGGAAAAAAACATAAAATAGTCTGAGCAATTAAACAATGTAACTGCTTATTAATTAATTTATGAAACTTACACGCTGTTCATCTTATCTATATATGTGATTCTAGGTAGTTTACAACCAATAAAACATCAATATAAACTATTAAAACAATAAATAGTAACACTAAAACTGGTTAAAAATTGACAAAGAGGGAAGGAAGAGAACAAGATGCAAACAGAAGGAAGTTGGGGTATTATGTTAGTCCGTTAACCATGACCATTCCTCCAGCACAGAGAAGGATGTTCCCTCCCTGCAAAAAGGGAAAGGAAATTCCCTTGGCAAGCTGTGGAAACAGACCTCAATCCAACATCCCATCTATTGCCAGTATCCCATTGAATTTCTGGGGAAACCAGGAGGGGCATAATGCTTTCCAATAACCGAAAATGCTTTATGAGACATAAAGGATCCATTCTGAGGCTGCTGTGACTGTGAGTTGCTGTTAAATGACCAGTTGTAAGAAGATGACTACCTGCATATATGGAATTCACTAATTAATCAGTAAAGAAAATTCACTTTATAGTGCTTATTATGTTATTTATAGGGGGCACGATGGCTCAGTGGTTAAAAACACTGAGCTTGTCAACTGGAAAGCTGACATCCCGAGTTCAAGACCTGAGCACCGTGTGATGGGGTGAGCTCCTGTTACTTGCTCTAGCTCCTGCCAACCTAGCAGTTCAAAACCACGCAAATGCAAGTAGATAAATAGGTACCACTTCGGTGGGAAAGTAATAACATTCTATGTGCTTCAGCATATAGTCACGCAGACCACATGAACAAGGAAATGTCTTCGGACAATGCTGGGCACCCTCAACTAAGAAACGGAGGTGAGAATCGCCCCCTAAAGTCAGACTCAACTGGACAGGGGAAACCTTTACCTTTACCTTTATATGTTATTTATAAAATATCTCTTTTAAGATTGCTTTGACTATGTATATTTTGATAAATAATTGTACACATATAATCAAATTTCAGCAGACACATGTTAGGCAAAAATTTGTCTAAAACTCCTACTAAGATAACTGCATATGAAAAATGAACAGACATCCTGTGAACTTTGGGAATAATAAAACAGTCTAGTTTTAAAACAAATGTAAGTAATGTGGATAATTCTGGAACAAAAAAATGGAAAGCTGCCTTAAAAATAAATATCTAATTTTCATGAAATAAAACTAATGAAGAGTTTGTTAACTGAGTTCTTTGTGTTTTAAAAAAGATGGATTAATGATGTTTATAATTTTTTATTAAGAACAATCTTTGAAATTTTTAGATTGATTACTAAGGAAATATTACAAAATACTAGTAAAATGTTCAGATTAAGAAAAAAAGATTTGAAATAATAGAAGCAATTAAAAGAGCTAAAACAAGCAAAAGTCCGGGACCAGATGCCTACCAAGCAGATTCTATAAAATTTTCAAACATCAATTATTTCTTCCAATGAAGGACTTAATGAATTCTATTTTAAGGGGAACCATATACCAGACTCTTGGAAGGATGCCTATATTTCTTTAACACTCAAAGATGGACTGGATTTAACTGTAGTTCTTCTGTGAAGAACTACAGGCCAATTTCTCTCCTAAATAACGACTACAAACTCTTTGCATCTATTTTTGCTGAAAGACTTTAAAAGGTTTTACAGGAGTATATACATGAAGACCACTGTGGTTTCTTACCTAAAAGATAACTAAAAAATAATATAAGAGTAATTTTGAATATAACTGAATATTTACAACAACGTAGAGACAAACAGGTTACGTTAGTCTTTCTGGATGCAGAAAAATAGTGGAAAAGATGGATTTTGGATTTGGCTTTATACAGGTTCTGAAGTCCATCTATACACTCCAGAAAGCTCGATTCATGGTTAATGGAGACTTTACAAAACCATGCGAAATCCAGAAGGTAACAAGACAAGGGTGTCCTTTATCCTCTATTATTTATTCTGGTGTTGGAATAGTTAAATAGAGATATTAGATAGGATAATAGAACAAAAGGACTACAAATTAAAGTGCATAATTACAAATTACCTGCATTTGCCAACAATTTGGTATTGATTGGGCAACACCCCTAGAGAACATTGAACATGTTAAGAGGAAGATTAAAATGTTTGGAAAAATGGCGAGTTTAAGAATAAATAAATAAATCAAAGACGATAATACTAAGAACATAAAGGTGGAAGATCAGAAGAAATTGGAATTTAAAACTTTTTAAAGTTGTGAAAAAGGTACAGTACTTGGGGGTAACTCTCACAGAGGAAAATTCTAAGCTTTACAAAAATAATTACAGTAAAATATGGAAGGAAATAAAATTGGATTTAAATAGATGGCAAAAATTAGATTTGTCATTAATGGGAAGAATTTCAGTAATTCAAATGAATGTACTAACTAGAGTATTATTTTTCTTTCAGACTATACCGATATTGATTAGTTTCCACTTTCAAACAGTGGCAGAAAGATATATTTTATGATGCTTGTTGTCTGATAGGTTAAAAGACTGAATAACTTTAAAAAGTTAAAGCTGTTAGACCTCGAATATTTTGATTTGAAATTTGGGTAGTATGCTTATCTGTGGTATGACAAAGTAAAAGTTAACCCCCCCCCTTTTTTTTTAGATGCATGTTATTAGGCAATCAATTGCATGTGTATAAGTATAAAAGAAGATTAGCTGATAAAGTGATACTTTGGCTATCACCTCATGAAGCCTATATATAACAGATGATTTCAAAATATAAATGGATGACATATCAAGACACTGATATTTGAAAAAGAGGGATTTAAGATAGAGAAGAGAACAACTAGTAAGTGAAAGATTTGCTTGTGATTGGGTTAATTATTATAGAATTTTTGAAAGATTTAAATTTGATTAAAAAAAGTTTTGTTTTCACAGGAACTATATCTGAATTGGACATTAATCTATGTTCTGGAGATGACTACTTGATTTCTAAAATATATAAAATGTTTCTTAAGATGAACCTAGAAGCCGAATACATTAGAGTGTTTGGTAAAATGGGCAATAAAAATTGGGTATAGTATAATGCTAGATAAATGGGAGAATGTATGGACGAATGGACTAAAATTTACATTAAATTATTGTTTGAAAGAAATTTTTTACAAAATGATGTATCACTGGTACTTGCCCCAGATAGAGTAGCAAAAATGCATAAAGGGGTTTCTAGTAAGTCCTGGAAATGTAATCAAAATTCAGGTTCATTTTATCATATGTGGTGCTCTTGCAAATATATGAAAACATACTGGATAAACATAACAATGACAATGCAGAAAATATTTAAGATACAAATATTAATGAAACCTGAAGCTTTTCTTTGAGGTATGATGGACAAGCCAATTGAAAAACAATTTGGGGTGCTATTCCTTCACATGGTGACAGCTGCAAGGATTGCACTTACCAAACATTGGAAAGAAAAAGGGATGCAGACTGTTGAAGAATGGATTTTGAAATTGACTGAACTAGCAGAGATGGCGAAATTAACTGCTTTGATTAAAGATAATGGGCTAGACAGCTGTATAAGAGACTGGAAACCGTTTGTAGTCTTTTCTATGCGCTAAATATAACAGATGGTTAACAGAGGGATTTGAAGATTAGTGTAATGTTTAGCTCAACCTGTTGACTGCTTTTTCTTCTTTCTGCGTGTATATGCATAATACACACACACACACAGATACATATATATATACATACACACACACACACACACACACACATTTGTAAAAGGGAAGAATAATTTACTACTTTTTCTTTTAGCACCCAGCCAGGGTGGATCCTACATGTTAAATGTTAAATTTAATTGAACACTTTCTCCTCTTTTTTTGTACACTATTTTTTTCTTTTTTTGTTGTTGTTAGGGTTGAACGCATGCTTTTGTTTCGTTTCATTTTTTGTTTGTTTTACTGTTTTGTATTTTATTCTCTGTGATAAAACTCGGAAGCTCGGAATTTACACACACTCTAGAAGAAGTGAGTCAGCGTGGAGAGGCCAGGCTGCAAAAGAACAAGCTACAAGTTGCCTCAGGAAAGGAAAGGTGGAAATTTAAAGGGACACAAACCTTCGCAGGCTGTTGGGACATAGATGGCTTCGAGGATTGCTTTTGCCTTGTTTTGAGGACTGTTCTTGGCTTGCCCTGGCCCTGAGGACTCCCCCTTCGGACCTGCCTTGCCTTGGACTCTGTCCTGTTTTGCTGGACGTCGAGTGGAGCAGGCGGGACGAAAGGAGGTTGCTGTTGCTAGAGACTGGCTAACATCATTCTAGGCAAGCTGCTGTTGCTGGCGACTGACTACCATTGCTCTAGGCTGCGGTTACTAGGGACGGACTACCATCGTTGTACACCGGCTGCTGTTACCAGGAACTGTCTATCATTGTCCCCTGTAAGTTTTTACTGCCTGAGATTGACTGTCATCATTCCACTCTAGTTTGCCAACGTCGTCAGAGTGGAATGCCGGAGGTTCGGAAATTTGCTTATGGGACCAGCTGTTTTTGCGCTCTGTTCATGGATGAAGCAATCACGGTCCTGGAAAGGAGCCAGAGAGGCCACTTTGCGGCTTCGAGAGAAAGACGGCTGTTTAGCTGGAACCCAGGTTCAGCAACTCTTCTGCTCCCAGAATGTGGCCATTCCAGAACACCAGAAAGAACTGAACTTGATAATAGACAGGGCTTCGTAGGCATATAGGGTTGCTTTGGAGGTTACTGTGTGCCCGTGATGTATTCAGTGGCTGACCTCCATGCGCTGCGAGAGTCCCCTCTCTCGCAGGTCTGGCCCACAGCATTAACGAGGGCCTACCTCTATGAGGGATTTTTTAATCATGAGAGGTGGCGTAGCTTGATTATGTTTCAGTGGGGGGTTTTTTACGGGTGTGTTTTTAGAACAGGCCCGTTATTTAATTCGATTTTAAAACAAACTATTTATTACCGTGGTTTTTAGTATCGCCTGTTCACCGCCCTGAGTCCCGCAAGGGAGATAGGGCGGTATATAAATTTAATAAATAAATAAAATAAATAAATAAAAACGCAACCTAAGGGGATTTTTAATCAAATTTTTAGTCCGGGTTTTAGGGGGTTCCAGGGAGAGGGGTGGGCAAATTGAAATTAATTCTCCCAGGCCGGCTGAAGGCCTCAGCGAGGTGGGCGTAGGTCCTGGAATTGGGGAGGGGGGAGGGTCTGCCTAATAGAGGGCAATTCCATTAAGACTGTGTATGGGAGGGGTAGATATGGCGGGAGCAGAGGGCCATATCACACTAGGGGAGGGCGCACCCGCTGTTTATGAGCTATGGCGCGCTCCGGCCTCATGGCTCTTCTTGCAACCTAGGGGGTTTAGGATCTCAGGGCCTGGGCTTTCGGCTGATGCTGTGTAACGCCAGGTCCACGGTTAATAAAGCCCCCCTCATTTATGATTTGGTATCGGAGAGGGAGGTGGACCTGGCGGGTATTACGGAGACCTGGCTGGGCCAAGAGGGGGGTGCCCCTCGTTGAAATGTGCCCGCCAGGCTACCGTGCATTTCACCAGCCGAGAGCCCAGGGTCAGGGTGGGGGGGTGGCGGTTATTATTAAGGAAGGCCTGGATCCAAGGGAAACCACTGTACCGCAGACTGCCGGTTGTGAATCCCTAGGTGTGAAGTGGGATCATGGGAGGCAGCAGGGCGTGCTAATTGTATACCTGGCTCCCCGCTATGTATCAGCAGCCCTACCCGAGCTTCTCAGTGTGATAGCCGAGATGGCGATTGAGACCCCCAGACTGTTAGTCATGGGGGATTTCAATCTGCCATCATTAGGTGAAGCATCTGAGGTGGCTCGGGAGTTCATGGCCTCCATGACGGCCATGGACCTGACCCAATTAGTAGATGTCCCTACCCACACCGGAGGACACACACTGGACTTAGTTTTTGCCTCCGGCCAGTGGTTGAGTGATCGTGCTTTAGGGGAAATAGTTGTTGAGCCCCTGTCATGGTCAGATCACTCTCTCCTTTGGCTGGCCTTTCCTACCGCTACGCCCCACCACGAGGAGGCGGAACCAGAAGTGACGAAATGGTTCCGCCCCAGGCGCCTGATGGACCCTGAGAGGTTCCAGATGGAGCTTGGGCCAATACCTGAGACCTTGACCCACGGCTCGACTGAGGACCTGGTGGCCGCCTGTAATGGTGTGGCCGCAGGGGCCCTGGACCGGGTCGTGCCTTTGCGGCCCCTCACCCAATGCCGGTCTACCTTGGCTCCTTGGTTCTCCGAGGAGCTGAGGGTGATGAAGCGTCAGAAGAGATGCCTAGAGAGTAATTGGAGGGCCACCCGCTCCAAATCCGATCGGAAATTGGTAAAGTCCCATTTAAGGACTTACCTAGTAGCGATAAGAGCAGCGAAACGAAACTATTTCTCCGCTCTTATCGCGTCTGCAGGTAACCGATCTGCCGCCCTGTTTAGGGTGTCCCGTTCCCTCCTTCATCAGAGGGTCCGGGATGTCCCTTTCCAGGGTCGGGCAGAGGAATTTGGGTGTTACCTGCATGACAAAATCGATCGGATCCGGGCCGGGTTAGCCTCCGATTGGACTAGTTCAGGCAGGCCAATGGAGGCAGGTCTTGAGTCCATTTTGTGGGAAGAGTTTGATCCTGTGACCTCCGAGGACATGGACAGGATGTTGGGATGGCTGAACACCACCACATGTTTACTGGACCCGTGTCCCTCCTGGCTGGTACTGGCCTCCCGGGAGGTTACACGAGGCTGGCTCCAGGGCATCGTCAATGCTTCTTTGAGTGAGGGGTTCTTGCCGGCCGCCTTGAAAGAGGCGGTGGTGAGGCCCCTCCTCAAGAAGCCCTCCCTGGACCCGGCTGTTTTGGCCAACTACCGTCCTGTCTCCAACCTTCGCTTTCTTGCGAAGGTTGTTGAGAGTGTGGTGGCACGACAGCTCCCTCAGCACCTGGAAGAAACTGTCT